TCATTTGGTTGTCGAAGAAATCGCCAAATTCACTCAAGAAGTGAGTTTAGGCTTGCAAGGTCTTTGAAAATTTATTATTCCACACCGAGTTTACCTCAGTCAAGTAAGAATACCATTGGATTGGTAATTGTTAAGTTCAGTTGAGTGCAAGTTTTTACGAATAATTAACGCAGTGAACGCAGCAATCGTAAGTGAAACAATTATGTCAGTTTCGTTAGTATCATTTCGACTTGTCAGCTTGTTTACATCATAAAATCGGATTTTAAGAATATCCAACACTGGATTGCTGCCGCAGCAGTAAACATAAAATTTACGAATATTTGAAAGATTCAAAGCATAATGCAGTGCACATAGATGGTGCAAAATATGAAAGGAAAAATTGTCGAGTGCAATGAAATACATATTATGGTGTAACGAACGCATCGTTCTTCTCGGAAAGTAGTTGGCATTTGACTGAGATGAGGGGAAATAAAGGAATTGAAGTGATTCTCATTGGAGGATCTTGACGGTGATGACGTGATGATCGTGGATGCACTCAATACGATATACGTTTGGATTGGAGCGAATGCAAATCCGGATGAAAAGAAATACGCACAACAAACTGCGCAGGTAATACTGCAGTCGCTTTAACCAAGAGCTATTCACAGATGAGAAAAAATCTTCACTAAGTCAACATCAATTTTCGATGATATGTAGTGTTCGGTGTGCTTTTTTTGTTCCAGTGGATCATATATTAGTGTTTTTCTTCTTTACAGAAATATTTGGAAACGGATTCCCATCCAAGGCATCAACCACAAATTGAAATCATTTATCAAGGTCAAGAAACACCATCGTTCAAGAAACTTTTCAAGAATTGGGATGACGAAATGTTCAAATCGGTAAGTCATAAATGATGCATGTCATAAATGTGATTTCTGTCTTGATTATGATATTAATGAGAGAGTTTATATTACTGAGGTATTAAATATTCTCTGGTTTTATTCAAGGTTATTAATAATAACATGGCTCACGTAAAATTTTGATTATTTGATACACCCTAACAACTTTTATGTCGATGAACGAATTTCAGGAATCAAGATCGTTCGAAAACATGCGCAAGCTGATGTTCTCGAATTTGTAGTTCGCAGTTCTAGAGTGAACCGATCGATCTTAAGTGAACCACGTAAATGATTGAACTGTCCACTGGGATGATGCAACATGCATAACCGTTGAGGAATTTTAGATATATCGACTGATTCTGGATATTTTCTGGATATTTTTGGGTAGCGGGTTAGGGGACCATTGAGGACCACGTCCTCGCTCCCGACCTTCTTTGAGCGAACCGCATTTTCGGAGTTCCCGACCGTTCCCGACTTTATCCTCGATTATCCTTGTTCCTGACTTTTCCAAAATTTTCGGATCCCTGTTCCCCGAAAATTTATTTTCGGGGAATTCCCTAATTCTCCGTGAAAGTTGAT